TGCTTTTCTTTAATAAGGTTGTACATGACAAGATGTGGAATTTAATTAAAAAAAAGTACTGAAAAAGTTAACGCGGTTGTGGTTTGTTTTGAAATCGTCTTTCTAAATGTTGTAATCACGAAACACAAAAAACAACAGGGCCCGAAATAATTACAGGTATGTTCATAGAACATGCAACAGTTAATGACATACCTCATCTAATTAACCCTCGATCAGTGTTTGCTTTACAAACAGAATCCAATGTGAGAAAATGACGTTAAACACAAAAACGTCGAACGGTTGTAATTGCTAATAAAGCTCATGATAAAAATATGTTTCATTTAATTTGGAGATTGTAAAATACGCAACTCAGAGAACCTTCCTCCAAATAATCCAGCTTGTTCTTATTTGCCAGTGGAAAAAAAAAATCCCAGGGAAGTCCCCCATACATTTAACCCTTGAACAACTAAGAGTGACTAACATCTAATTTCTCCTTACAATATCACCCCTGAATCACACATTAAGGCCAAGAGAATAATGAAAATAATCAACACCTACAGAAACCCTTGATTGTTAAGCAAGTTCTCCTTGTCATTATCTTGGGAAATGCAAAGAGAACAGTGTGAAGAAAATGCAAACTGATCATAGGGCGTAAAGGATTTGACAGAAATCATCGAGGGCTCTACCTCTGTGTTTTCATGGATCTAACCAACGGTTTTTACATTTTTCCAGAGTTGGCATCAATTTTGAGTACATCTGTTGCTACACACAACAACTGTTCAAAATGATGCAAAATTCAAATTTTGTTCAATTTTGCATCGGTTGTGTGGGAAGAAAGACTGTTAGTAGCCCTGCCCTTTCAACAAAAAATTTGGGGGTCAAACTGTTTTTATGAGGAATAATATACAATTTTTGAGCAATTTTTTTTTTTTTACATTTTATGTCAGAAGTTGAAGAATCACTTCATTGAGCTAAGTTTACCTGAAAATTATCTTTGCATTTGATGCTCTTACAGTATACTTAAAATTGTTTCCAACTTAGATTTTCCACAAAAATCCATGTAATAAACAGATCATTACATGTTCAGATAATTTGCAAAGTTGTCAGTAGAAGTCAGTAGAGAATGGAAACCTGGCAGCTGTCAGACCCTTTTGTGCCAGCTACTTTGTGAATTGTGATCAAACACAAAAAGTTACCACTTTTGAACTTATACTAACATCAATGTCTGGCTATGAAAAGCTTCTCAAATAGGTTCCAGAATGGTGGAAATCTCAACATGGAGAGTTATAAATTTCAATTCTCTTTTTCAGAGGAGCATGTCCCTAGACCCCTTAGAAGGGCCTGCTGCTTTGCAACAAGCCACATTGGTTATGAAAGCATAATCCAATTCACTTAGGTAGCACGGAAAGCCGCAAAACTCTTGAACAAAGGCTCATCTTTCAAACCCGCAGTCTAAATCCCACAGGAATCAATGAACGCTTTTCATTCCACTAATTTATTCGTGTTTTTCTCGTTGCCATGTTCCCACCAATCACATAGCTCCATTTTCTGCCTTTTAAAAGCACACACAACCCACAATTCCTCTATTCGCTCTGACGAAGGGCTAACGCTCGAAAC